TGGCCCCGCCCCTCAGGCCCCTGGGGGCGCAGGACTAAACCGGCACCTGTTTTTCTTGACCTTTGTCCATGGAAGGTCCCTGCAAAATTTCATTGCAATTGGTTCAGGAGTTTTGGAGAAGAAGATTTTTGAAATTTTAGTCAATTTGACCCCTTTTAGCCCCGCCCCTCAGGCCCCTGGGGGCGTAGGACTAAACCGGCACCTGTTTTTGTTGACCTTTGTCCATGGAAGGTCCCTGCAGAATTTCATTGAAATTGGTTCAGGGGTTTTGGAGAAGAAGTCGAAAATGTAAATTGTTTACGGACGCACGACGGACGACGGACGACGAACGACGGACGACGACGGACAAAAGGCGATCGCAATAGGTCACTTGAGACTTTGTCTCAGGTGACCTAAAAACATTAAACGTGTCAGAATGATATTTTTTTATAGAATTTACAATCTTACTTTCCTACTTTTTTTCTAATAATAAAGCTTTTTGCACTTACCAAGAGCCACTTTTGAGTTGATATCAAATCCTCCTTTTTCATTCCGCTTGCCTGTAGACACCAGTTTCATACCAGAGCATATCCGACATACCACCTCCAAAAGACTACCTAAGCCGTTCCTGTATGAGAAAAAATAAATATACTGAATTGATAGCTCATGTCATTTAGTTTTATTATGAGGCCAAATTTGAAATATATTTTGTTTCCCCTTCCGGACTCAGATTTTATGTAGTGCCAGTGGGTAGGTAGGTAGGTAGGAAAAATATTTTATTTTATATTTATGAATGGAAATATACAAAAATGTCTTGAAATTTACATTTTTTATTATCTCTCAAAAGACTTGTTAAGTTCAAATAGCACAAGAAAATGTGATTCAGACTCCAATGTCAATGTTTTGATTACGCTTTTAAAATTGGGGGGGGGGGGGGGGGGGGGGGAGGTGGGCGTGCGACGACTATGCACTCTGTTTTAGACTATAGGAATAAATTCACACTATAGAAATACTTTTTGTCATATTAATTCTAAAGGTCATTATAAAATGTTAATATGCTGACAAAAAAATATTCATTTGAAGCGTACGATACAGCCTTGATCCGTTTGGGTCCCGACATTCTCAAAAACCGGAGACGCTGATTGAGGGGGTGCTAAAAAATATTGTTTACCTCATTTCACCTACTATATCCTTCAGATGGAGTGGGGTGTTGCATCTGTTGCAGAATAGTTGTTCCGCTAGCACCTCTAACTCAACAACCCTCCGGCCTTCATTCCATACAATGTTTTCCGTGTGCCCGATCTCAGTGGAAACTGTTACATTGGAGGCTATGTTCTCAACAAGGATCGGTGTCTCTTCGACTAGGCCTATTGTCGGTTCCATTGCTCCCCTCGTACCGTAGTCGCGGTCGTCTGTCATGTTGTTTGTTTACCTTTTGACTCGGTGCGTAATAAAAGAATCGGAACCGATCTTAATCTTAATTCCGGAAAACGCACGCGCTATAAATAGCTCACGTGATACCTG